GAAGAGGAAAAACAACAGATGAGAACTAATAGTATACAACGGTCCTCACACATGTTGTGTTGGAGGGGTCAACCAAGATCATCCCAACTTGGACTCTAAAGTGATATGCCAAGCCATCATGCCCATGGTAAAAGCAATCTCTCATATAGTTGTTGCAGTGTTGATTTCAGCTATACAATCGCAGTATGGGTACACTGTCTCCTATAAAAAAGCTTGGTTGGCAAAACAAAATGTCATTGTCAAACTTCATGGCGAATGGGATGCATCTTACAACGAACTTCCATGTTGATTTAGGTTGGTGCGGACGTTGAATCCTGGGACAATTGTGGACTTTGAAACCTCCTATGCATACTATAATGATTGAGTTCTACGTGATCGATGCCAATTCTATCGGGTTTTTTGGACTTACCCACAGTGCGTTAATGTTGTCAAATACTACAAGCCTGTGGTCCAGATCGACGGGACTTTCTTGTATGGAAAATACAAGCAAGTTTTATTATTGGCAGTTGTCCAAGATGGCAATCGCAACATTCTTCCAGTTGCTTTTGCTCTTGTCGAAGGAGAAGATACAGATTCTTGGGTTTTTTTCCTCCGAAACTTACGTGCACATGTTATCATGAGGGAAAAAATGTGTCATTTCAGATCGTGGAGCTAGGATCAAAGCATCAATGGAGTCTTTGGGTCCAATGTGGCAACCACCCTTTGTCCAACATAGGTATTGTCTCCGACACATTGCTGCGAACTACCGTGGCAGGTACAAGAAGAATGATGAGCGTCAATTAATTGTGTGTATAGGTTTAGTGAAACTGATGTAGTTTGTTTTCTTTCGATCATTTTAATTTTGCAAAGAGAGCAAGTTAGTAAGTTATACATTTTTTGATCAGGTTACGAACTACTTCCTCGAACGTTTGAATCAATGCTTCAAGATTTGCAGCGAAGAACGAGGAAGGATATGATTACATCAACCTCATCGATAAAGAAATGTGGACGAACGCATATGATGGTGGATATCAATATGGACACATGACGACCAACTTGGCTGAGGTAATCAATTCAACCTTAAAGGGTACACGTCACTTACCTGTAGTGGCTTTGGTAAAAACTATATATTTTCGTTTGGGGGCGCTTTTTGCGAAGCTCGGGGGACAAGCTCAAACCTGGGTGCAAGGCGGTCTTGTCTATCACCCTAGATTAGTTACAGATCTACAGAAAAAAAAATTACTGCATCAAATGGAATGTTTGTATCTGACTTCTCTAAAAGGCATGAATTGTTTCGTGTCACAGAGTTGTCGTGACCTCTTCAAGGGATTGAAGTTGTGTCGTTAAGAGTAAATCTACGGGACAGAACGTGCGATTGCGGGTTTTTTCAAGCTCTGAAGTATCCATTCTCTCATGTGATAGCAGCTTGCTCGCATACGCGTCAAGACTATAACCGTTTTGTGGATCCCGTATACCTATTATCTGAAGTTTATAAGGTATACGAATTTGAGTTCCCCCATAGGTAATGACAAATACCCTGATGAGGTTCAGGATTGGCTTCTGATTATACCAAATCTAAGTTTATTAAGGGAGCGTGGTCATCCAAAATCCAATTAAATTCATTGCGATATGGATATTCGAGAAAGATCTAGACAAGACAGAAGATATGTGCATTGTAGAAAGCCAGGACACACTAGAAAAATATGTCAACTTCTGTTGTCATCAAGTAACAATTGATGATGACATGATGTAGTTGTTTATCAAATAATAATTCTTATACTTTAATTTGCATTTACTTAAAGTTAATGTCATTCGATAACCGCTGATGAACAGTAAAAAACAATACAAGAAAACGAGATTGAACGTTGGCGTTATATGTGATTATAATAAAAGAGATAATAAGTGACAAACTGAAGAAAGTTTGAGAACACAATTATTAAATTTTATCAAACTAATAACAATTTGGTATTTGAACATAATTTTAAATACAACAAACTTACAAAAAGTATTATATGGTAAATGATAACCAAAATACATTAACAAAACTGTATAACAAATTTAACAAAATAAATTAAAATAAATCCAACCACACGAAAAAAAGTAAGTATTAAATGATAAATAATAAAAAAAATTGCAATAAAAAATCCAATAAACAACTAAATACAAATATAATAAAAAAACAAAATCTATCGATGCCTGCGACGCGAATGTGTCCGCAAGACGGTGGTTGTCGATCTCGATGAGGATTTCTTCGTATCACTGGTTGTGACTCCTCGCTGTCATCATCATCACCATCATCATCGTCGTCGGCGTCGGCGTCCTGAGAAGCTACATTTTGTTGAGGAGGAGCTGATGACGACGAAGCACCTCCATAGAATAAGGACCCTAGAGGTATATGACTGAATATCCCACCGGCCTGCAAAAATTGGGAAAACTGGGAAAACTCATAAAACCCAGACATCGCCGAGTGTGAAAACTATACAGGAGGTGTATGTGATGCGACCATAGGTGATGAGGCTGCACCCGCCAAATATTCAGCATATGAACCCCAAGTAGGATCTGCAAACATAGACTCATAATATCCTCTAGGAGGGGTCATATAACTCTGTGATGGTGGCGGGGTCATAAAACCAGGTGACGGTGGCGGCAGCGACATCGGGTAAGGGAATGGAAGTGGCGGCATCATATATGGTTGTGGTATGTAACTCGCTGGAGACGGTGGCTACTGTGAAGTTCCTTCTGGTGTAGCTGAGGAAGAACCGGACACACCTGCTCTCCATCCACGAGTCGAGGGACGATGGTGCTGTGTTGGTGAATGTCTCTGTCAACGTCGCTGAAAGGTCCGCCCTCATGCATCCTCGGGAAGAAGAAACGATTTCCCGTTACTGTTGAACCAGTCCTAATAACCGTCAGCAACCATCAAGAGGTCATCAAAAATGGGCTCTCTACGGTGAAGGCACCGATGTCGATCCTCCCACAACACGACCCACTCATGATGCCTCACCAGCCAATATGTATATGTCTTGTCGCGTCGATCTGTGCTATGCAACTTGTCCATATTATGAGGTGCTTCCGGAATTGGTTGAAAACAACCAAATTGCCGGAGCACGCGATCAGTGGAGTGCCACTCGACGATCGCATAACAGATAAAATGAACCATCGTCATCCAAACATCTGATGGGTCTCTCAACTCAGGTGGAATCACCATCCTCACATCATCATTAGAATATGACACCCATTCAAACTAAAACAAATATATATAATTTTTATCAAAATAATAATCTAATTATATAAATATAATCTAAAATCGATTTTTAAACATTAAAATACAAACCTGTATGTCAGCCTTCTGATCGATTAACACCCTAATTTTTCTAAATCATCAGGTAGCTCCTGATGATTTTTCCTATCAGTAGACCACTTATTCAAGGAAAAAAATTTATTATACACTGTATAAAATGATAATATACGAAATCAGTTTTATAATTACCTTAATAGTAGTGGAAATACGAATGGGTTCTTGACAACGGGACATAAAAAGGGCAATCGATACCACGCCCAAGACTGCAGCAGCATGAGATATCCGCCGATAGCTTTTTTTCTGTAGTCAATCGCGCGACACATCTCCTTATACAGGAAAGTCAAAACTACCGAGCCACATCTGAGTGATCCGGCCAGATGAAAGTCACCAAGATATCACAACCACATACAGTGAACTTGGTTGCGCAATTTGTCCGGCATCAACAACCCTCCTATCAGCTGCAGTATGCATGCCCGTGCATACATTTTAACTTCATCATCAGAGGCGTCATCGTTCAACTCCCGAAAATTGGCATCTAACCAATTTAACGGTATCCGACCACTATTAAAACTTTCCGGGACACGTCCTAGATAGTCCCGGAACAAAGCAGTCCATGAACCGTGCGCCATCCCCGATATCACATCTCCATCCACTGGAAGCCCCAGGTGCATAGAAACATCCTCAAGTGTAATCGTGCACTCTCCGCACGGAAGATGAAATGTGTGGGTCTCCGGCCTCCACCGCTCCACTAAGGCAGCAATAAGGTCTGGTTCTATCTTACAGTGACCCTCATATCTACCTATGTGACCAAATCCAGCCTCTACTAAATACGGCATGACACAACCATATATCACTAACTTAAGGTTCCTAATAAAAAGATCTAATATACGGTCTCTCTCCTAAAATATAAATAAATCTAAAAATTAATTTTTAAACTAATAATCATGCATTAAATAAATAAATAAATTATTACTAATAATTTAAATTAAATTAAAACATTAAAATGTTACCGTATTAGCAAAATGTCGAGATATATGATTTCCATCCAAGCGAAGCAGACCACCTTCCATTTTATATCTACAAAATAAAATTAATTAAATATAATATTAAATAATTTAAATACTTAAATAAATTAAATACAAAATATTAAATATAATAAAATATACCTTAAACAGAGAATATAGTATTTCAGAGAGGTTGAGAGAAGTTGAGAGGATTTGGTATGATGAAAGTGATTGAGGATGGAAGTATTTATAGGGAAAGAGGGGGTGTGAAAGGCCAGGGTAGGTATGTAATTAAACCTAAGGGGCGCGCCTTTTTGACGCGTGTCAGATTTGCAAGTAAGGCGCGGCCCTTGCCCCGCGCCTTACACACGTGTATCCCACGTGGCGCCAGAGCGCGCTGCAGGGGCGCGACTTACTGCAAAGGGTGTTAGATCGGGAAAAATAGTCTGAAGGGTGCCTGACAGGGGAAAATAAATGGAAAAGGTGATATATCGGGAAAAACGCATTGGAACAAAGTCTAATATTTGGAACTTTTGTGAGATTTTCATTTCATTAAGAAAATAAATCGTAACACCCTCCAATGCAAGAACTTCGCCACCAAACTGAAAATTATACTCAATCGAAAGACGATTAAATCATAGAAGAAGAAGAAGAAGAATTGACATCCTTACATTACTTCCTTTCCAAACTTTGTAAACACACTTTTCCATCCTTACATTACTTCCTTTCCAAACTTCATAAACACGCTTTTTCATGAAAGAAATTCCTGCGCTCACTCGAGCTTTATTCGACGCTTTTCCATCATTACATTACTTCCTTTCCAAACTTCGTAAACACGAAATTCCCGCGCTCACTTGAGCTTTATTCGACTACGTTGGAACACAGTCTAATATTTGGAACTTTTGCGAGATTTTCATTTCATTAAGAAAAGAAATCGTAACACCCTCCAATGCAAGAACTTCGCCGCCAAACTGAAAATTATACTCAATCGAAAGACGATTAAATCATAAGTGCCAGAGTTAGGCCTTGATTTCTTTCTTGGGTATTGTTATTTTAAAGAAAAACAAAAGAAGAATTATTGTAGAAGAGAACGGTCAAAATAATTGGTCAAAACTCATCAACATTGTTTTCTTCATGGTTTTCAGAACCGGACCGGTCAGCGAACTGGCCGTGCTACCGGTTCATTGGTTCAACCGGTCGAATCGGTCAGACCGGTCGAAAGAATCGGACGATGTCATAATTAATTAATTATTTAAAAATTTAAATAAAAATTTAAAATGATTTAATAAAAAAACAGTTTTTTATATCACAAGTCATATTCAAAGCAAGTTATAACATATATAAGTTAAAAACCATAAAATCAAGTGAAACAAAATGATTCAAATCAACTACAACATAATATTTAAGGTAAAATATATTAAATAATAAATATAATTATATAACTATAATCAAAAAATAAATTTGGGGCTAAAAAATCATAACAAACGATGTCGTTTGGTTTAATTTTTTTTTATAAAAAATTCCACATGGCTAAGAAACATAGAAGAGCATCACAAAAGTCTAAAGAGTACAAATATGAAAACAAAACAATCCCACATGGCTAAGAAACATAGAAGAGCATCCCAACTGACTTCTATAAATAATAGAAGTAATTTGACATTCAAAATCATGGAGCCTTTTGGTGACCACAGAGCGAACTATTCTTTCGCTTCAATTAAGCTCGAATTTCAGGCTTCAATCGGGCTTCTAATTTTTTTTTTGAGTTCGAGCCTTTTTGAGTCCAAGTTTCAATATTAAATTTCAAGTTCGAGTTGAACTTGATAATTTTTAGCTCGTGAGTTTTTGAGTTGAGTTGAACTTACTTTTAAAGTTTTCAAGTTCGACTCGGCTCGTTTAACAAACGACGTCGTTTGATTTAATTTTTTTTAAAAAAAAAACAGAACCGGTTTTCAACCGATTCGAACGGTTCACAGCTGGTTCAACAGTTCCTTCCGGTTCACTAATAACGGTTTAACCGGTATAGAATAAACCGGACCAGACAATGATTTCCGATTGAACCAGCCGGTCCGATTTTCAAAACACTGGTTTTTGTTCTCCTTCGCTTCATTCAACAACAACAAACCAAGGAAATAATCAGGTAAGCTTCGAAACCAAGGGATCGTTTAAAGAGAACTCAACACAACCGTCATCGAAATTGAGTCAAAATAACCAATAAAACCCATCAACTTGGAAATAAAAAGCTTCTTTGCTTCAGCTTGTTTTGTTGGGTTTCTCTTTTTCTTTTTCATCGCTTCACTCGACATTAACAAACCTATTTTGTAATCTCGATACCCTTGGTAATTGATTCCAACAGACCTTTCGAGGCTAGAATTAAAAGCTTTAGAAGATACCCAACAAGAGAAAGAAGAAGTTATAGCTATGCTTACTCATATTTTAGGAGTTACGGTTTTGGATAAGCAGACCCACCGAGTTGCTACGAAGAAGGATAAGTAGATGGAAACCTTTAGGGCTGCTCTTGGAATTTGAGTGTCTGAATATGGACTTCTTCTGCCAAGTCGAACACGCTTTTCTAAACATAGATCCACCATTTTTTTTCATTGGATGTGGATGGTCTAAGACCCCACTACTTAATTTTATTTTCAATTGTTCATTAATTTTATATGAAAAATATTAGTTTACCTTAAATAAAAAATGTAATATGTAAATTATCACATCCTCAAACTTAAGTGTTTGTCTGTCCTCAAGAATTGTATGACAACTTGTCCTCAACAATTAGATAGCATAACTCTTACATTTGTCTTGCATCTGTCAACTTAGAACCGTAGCAATTTTTTGCCAATCATCGTTGAATCTCAAGACAACAAGAAATCAACTTTTAATGCTCGTGCATGTTTGTGCTTTTAGTTGTGACAGTTCAACACCATGGGTATTTTCAGAGAATATCATAATTATCAAAGTAATTAATAAAGCAAAAGATGTTACAGCAATTACTATTTAACTTAACTAGAGCTTCAACATCACAACTACCTGTCAATACTTGAGTAGTAAGATGGTGTCAGCAACAAATTCACTAGCCTTTTAGGTAGAGTCATCCCGTGAAAACTTTCATTTACTCATGTTATTTGAGACTATCTTTCATATTTAATATTCATTAAAGGTACCAAACTTGCCTTAGCAACGGAGTGTCCTAGAGCTAAAAGTTTGTTGTGAATAATTTATTCGGCTAGAGCCAGTTTGGCCCCTCTAGCAGTTCATACAAAACATAGACAAAATGAATTTATTAGAATTTTTGTTTTTTTTAAAACATGCAAGATAACTAAATATTCTCCAACCCACAAGTGAATCAAGCACGGCATTCGGTAAATAATTATAGCATCACAAGAATCATTAAGGCAATCTCAAGTTATCTCTAAATCCTAAGGTTCTTGGTATTATATTACTATAGACAATTATCTCATCATAGGTAAATGCAAAGTCTCAACATTGTTTGTTTATCTAAATGTTTTAGCAAGCTAATGTCATAGAAAGCTGAAATGAACAATACAAATAATGAACACGACAAATTCACATAGCAATGAACAACATAAACGAACAACCCAAAAACTTGATGCTTCGATTAATGTAACAACAATCAGTGTAAGCACACACTATCGTTTATCAAGTAGTAAAAGTGGACACAACTAATGCGTTGAATATTGTATCCACAGATATTAGTATAACTTCACAGAATTGTTATGCTACAAACGTAATATTGTGTATAGTTAATGTAAGGAGCAATGTTGTAACAATGTAATAGAAAATAAAATAGAATAAATGGGATTACATCACAAGTAAATGAAGAAATGATCGATTTAGGTAAAAGATTATGAAATGTCAAACGGTAACATGCAATTAATATTGTTGTAGCAACATTATTAATATGTCAGCATTAACCTATCGGATTATTCTTCTCTCGAAAACATTCACCAATAACTCACAAGAAGGATTATATATTTATAGCAATTCAAATAAGTGTACTAAGAATGCTACGACAAAACAATCAGCAAAAATCTCTTTTACGATAAATAATGCTCTCACAGACGCTGATGATATTTATGACGTAACCTACCCTTCCATCAATATTAGGTAATTTATATCTCTACAAACAAGGTGAAAATTAAACTCAAGCAACACCAATCAATGATACTAAGGCAAAGCGAATAAACATAAGATTCCTCAAATATATTCAAAAGAAAATATCCATGTTTAACATCTTATCATAAAATAAAAATAAATCATCTTAAACAAAATGAATCCCCCTTCTCAAGTTCGATATAAATTGCTAAGATAACAACCAATCATCGTTAGTCAACATTCACAAGGTTGTTGCTTGTCTCACGTCTAAGTGATGTTTTGTCAAAGGTTTTTAGGCTGCCATGGCAACGGTAGAAAAGAAAATTAAAAAAATGGCTATGAAAAATAGGATTTCTAAGGTTGTAGAATATATTATATTTATAGCCTCTCAAAGTCAAACTTTCTACCAATGAGAAAATCTTTTTTCTGAAAAAAAAACATTTTTTAAATTCAAATTCCAATCAACAACAACTACAACATCAATAATGTCACAACATCAATATATCAATTTGCAGTAAAAACATTAAAATTAGCTCAATTGCCAAAAAGTCTCTTCCAATATGCAAATCATGCAAAATATACTAAAATAATCTAAATATGATCCAAAAAAATGCTTAAGTGCAAGTTTAACCTAAGTAAAAAGACTATAAATAATAACTCATTTGGAGAGTTATCAACAAATAAGTCAAGTTAAATGACTTTGAAACTAGTAGTGTAAAGAACAAATAAAGTCTGATTTCGTTAAAGTAAAATGCCAAAATCCATTACATAAATAGTTTGCATTGATGTATATCCTTTTTTGTCTGCATGTTGTTTTTTGGATTTAAGCTTCATTGATATTTTTCATTTAGAATTCGTTGTTAGTTTGTTGTTGTTGAAACCTTTCTCCCATTTGATTTATGCTTTTGTGTTCTATTTTCCACATTTTTATCGAAAAGATTTCTTGTTTTAGTTTTTGAAACTAGTTTTCGAACTAGTAGACCATGGATTATCCCAAGAGTAAGTAAATTTTATGGGAAAAGGGCTTGTTTGTGTTTTTAGTGTAATACCTCAAATTTCAAGTCAGTAGTTCGGATCAATTTGAGACCCGCGAGTCGAGCCCATTAGATTTTATAAATTAGTTTAGATCGATTTTTTAGAGTATTGGGCTTACGTTGGCCCAATAGTTAAATGTTAGTGGTGGTTTTAAGTTGGGTTAAAAGGAGAGGGACCAAATTAGAAATTTACCTATAGTCAGTTTTAAAGGATAAAAACCCCTTAACCTTAAGTGTTTTTAGGTGAAAAACCAAAACCCATCAAACTCTTTCCTTTTTTATCTTCATTTCCTTCCAAAGAGAAAGCTTAAAGGTGGAAGTTTTTCAAATTTCAAGCTTAACTAGAAGTAACCAAGGCAAGATACCAAATCCTCACCCTCCCAGCTTTCAGTTAAGCCTCTAATCTTGAGTTTTGAGTGTGGATTTCAAAAATAGGTTTTTAAGAGATTCAAGGAGATTAAGAGATTTAAGCTTGTTCTAGTAAGTTTGAGCTATTTAGAGTGTCCTTAAACTTGTTTTGAGCCTTAGATAAGTTAGTAATTCCTTTGCTTATCTTTGATTAGCTAAGGAGGTAAGAGAAAGTTCAAGGGCTAAAGGTAAAGAGAAAGTGAATC